ATGAGTGGTGACGAAACGTCACTATACGCTCAGTTATATTATCATAATTAAGTCAGTTTAAACAGAGAGACAGTAGCAAAAACACTTAATTATATTAATACAACAATTTTACTTTCTCCTTATCCTACGCTTCCTCATTTGCCTCGTGTATGCTTGTCGGGGCACCCAAGCCCTTGCGTTAAGTTCACGCAAGGGTGTGACCCGTTACAGCTAATCACATGAAACTTTACTATAATGGTCATGAATACTACAGATAGCTCACAGTTAGAGAGACTACGATTACAGGATCAACACAATTTTAAAACCGCATTTTACTGGACAAAGAAACACATACAAAGTTAAACTGTATTTTTTCGATCGCACAGCTATTGGACAAAAGAACGTAGTGACGCCCGCCACCCTTCCCATTCTACCCACGCAAGGACAGTTCGCAATTTCCGAACACCTCCGCAGACAAACACGACGTACGAATGGCGCCCCGAACGCACCTTCCCTTCGCCCAGAAGAGAGCCTACAAACACACCAGCGAGAAAACCCTGGACTCACGCAAGCTGATCTCTGTCGATGGGCGCTGGGAGATTTGGAGTCAGTGTTGCACGGTCCACGATCAGCAGGATTCTAAGCGAGAACATTCCTGTCACCCTCAATCCGAGAGCCAAACGGCAGCAGAAGGGCAGACATGCCGAGGTGGAGAAAGCGCTGTTCCATTTCGTGCTCGAAACTTAAAGTAGAGTCACGTTGACCGACTTCATACTCCACCAGAAGACCAATCAACTGCTCGAGGACGCAGTTGTAACGACGACGCTCTCGCTTTCGTCGGTGTCGAGGTTTATAGCCCGTCACGACATCAAGTCTTACCGACTGCATGGCGAGGCGGCTTCAGTCGAGCTAGAGACCCTTCACCAGCGGCGCCAGGAACTCCGAACCCCTATCGACGGCTACGCGGCGTGCGATGTTGTCAATATTGATAAAACCGGTATTTTTTATCGCATGATGCCTTCGCGGGCTCTGGCAACGATCCCTTTGAGTGGCACGAAGAAAGATAAGTCGCGCATTTCGATAGGGATATGCTCCAATATAGATAAGAGTGAGAAACTGGACCCTATCGTGATCAACAAGTCCCTCAAACCCCGTTGCTTCAAATTTATCGACGTTTCCAAGCTACCCGTCCACGTCCATGCAAATGCAAAGTCATTGATGACTGGCGGCATCTTTGCAAATTGGTTGAAAGCGTTCAATCTCAAAATGAGTGGGCAAAAAGCTCTTCTTCTGCTCGACAACGCAACCTCACATGTCAATGTGGAGCTCTCAAACGTACACATTCACTTCCTTCCGCCAAATACCACCTCCCATTTGCAGCCGATGGACGCGGGCATCATTCGCAACTTCAATCTCAAGTACAAGGCCCAATTCGTGCAGTGTCTACTGGACATGGTGATGGCAGGGACGGAGGACAAAAAGCTCGACGTTCTTAGCGCAATCCGTATGGTGGTAAAATAGTGGGTTGAGGTGCGCCCTGAAACCATTCGACACTGTTGGATCCACACCGGAATCGTGTCGGGAGTTATGGGGGCAGTGCTCCGTAGGCAAGACGAGCCGGTCCGTCCCAATGATCTCGAAATCCTGGCTAATCTAATCGACAAACTATCCTTATCTGATGGAATGGATGCAGACAGATATCTGGAGTGTGACAACAATCTGGAAGAATGGGAACCAGACTCTGATGCAACTGCCACCTCTGAGCCATTTACGCGTGATGACGACAGCGACGGAGACGAAAATACCATCTTCACTCATCGCGACGCGCTGAATGCTTCAATACCTTTGTCTACGTACTTATTCGCGCACAAGATCGATATTGCACACAAGATTGATATTGTGGGGATGCAACTGCTGACAGAGAAATGCCGCCAACAGCTTCAACAGAGCATGTATTAGCAGCAAATCACCGATTATTTCTCGAAAGAGTAAGCTCGGTGGCCCATACTGAAACTAGCAGCACTTACTTAAAAGCACGCAAAAATGGAATTGATATTGAATATGTTAAATCACTTAGATTTCTACTTTTTTCTATATATCTTACTTTTCTAGAAACTTATTCCAATTATCCAATTCCTATAGAATATTCCTGTAGATTTTATTCAATCACATTACAATAGAGACGAAGTGGTGTCCTTAAAGTTGATTTCGATTTTAAGGACACAGCGAAATTTTATAGACAAATTGCGCTCTCTAACTGTGAGTTATCTGTATGACCTTTCATCTGCTGAATAGCAAGGTGGCATCCGTAGATGTTACACGTGCGGAAGCACACGACATCTAAAATCCGATTTGCCTGCTGTGTAACCCACGCCAATAGATTCTGTGCCGCAATGCTACCGCTCCAAATTAAAAACAAGGTAAAGTGAGAGAGAACGTCGATTTCCAGTAGGCTCGTGGCGACTTTCTGTGAGAAACTAGGTTCGGTAAAGCCTCTAAAATGTGATATAAAACAGGGCAAAGCCCCACATGACTTCGTGGAATCAAATACAAATGCCTGAATACTGGTCAGACTTGTTGGTTGCGTCAGCAACAAGCATAGTCTTTTTGTAACGGGGTAAGCCTGTTCCATAAAATTGATATGATTCTATCAATTGTTGACTATAATCCATTTCGATAATATTCAATTGACACTACTAGAAAAGAATTAATGTTGGCAGATTATTCCCCGGGGTAGTATTCGTGGTTCTTTCACTTCTTATTGAAGAAGACGCTACATCAAGTACATTTACTACCAATCGCTGCTGGACGCGTGCAATGCGTGGTGAGCAAGAAACCCACATAAGAGATTGTAGTTTAATATAGTAAGACGAAGCCAAAGATGTTTCGTCAGGAAACTTGGCTAAATTACATACAGTTCTACGTTTCCCTTCAACAGAGCTAATTCGCTAGCTCTGCTTCTTTTCTCGCGCTTCCTCACGCTATGTGTACGTGACGTCGAGGGTTCCCAGTCTTGTAATCGATCAACACAAGGTATTTCCAGTCATTGGGTAAGAGCGTGCCCTTAGGCACATTTTGAATCAGCGGTAATCACTTTTCACTCTGGTGCATCGGGCAAAGATGTTTGTCGCCTTTTTCTGAACGGAAGTCAGTGAAATACTGAAGAGATGAAAACGCCTGAGTGCAATTATATCACGGTCCGTCTATTAATCAGTATTCGTGTCACTATCCCAAAAGTACAATTTAAATTAGCTGTAAAGGTTCTAAACTCTGACAGAATCAAATGCTGTATTTTCTAAATATACTCGAGATATGATCTCATTCTCGGTATGGTCTGACTCGAGCTCCTTAAGAGATATAAATATTGAGGTCGTATACGATAGGGTCCACGCGCAATATTTCTAGTGAAGCTTCAGAAATTCATGAACCCGCTTTATTTTGCGAAAAAAGCGTATTTGAAGCAATCCGCTGGCCGGATAAATGAGTGTTCAGGAAAATGACATGTTTGTAGTAAAGCGACTATGAAATTTCTATGTAGAGGAACTGATCGCATTCCCGTTATGTCCGAGCCAGTAAACGGTTGGCTGCCCGGTCCCACATCTGGTCAGATCGCGTCCATTGAACAGTCAGACTAAAATGAATATCAGATCGGGCAGGTTGGGACCTGCGATCTTGGTTCAAGGTATGTGGCGGAAGGTAATTTTGGCGATCAGTTGATAAAGAAGGGAACCGCGATCAGGCGCAATCGCAATCAAGGGGGCGATCGAGATCATTGATTTGGTAGGTGATCGCGAACAAGTTGGTGTGGAGCACACCATGTGGTCCGCGATCAGCAAGGCGATCCCGATCAGGCAGCGATCGTGATCGTGATCAGTGATCAGGCATGTGATCGCAATCGTTATCAGTGATCAGGTAGGTGATCTCGATCAGACAAGTATATCAGGTGTGGGCCACGCCAGCACAAGATCGCCACCGTCTAGAGCGAGCGACATGTGGCAAACGGTGTCCAAGACATGGTGATAGGGATAGAGATGTTGGGTTTGATTGGTTAACATTAAACAGAGTTCAATTTGCTTCAAAGTACACGTGTCGACTTCTCCTCCGGGTGGATCATTGGCCATCCGATGTCAAGGAAAGGTTTACATACTTTAATCAAGTGATATCCCTGTATTGTTTGGCCAGGGATCAAGATCTCTTAAACAACACCCCAACTGCTACTGGATGCAGGAACCCCTTTGTGGTTGAGGACTCAAGAGCGCGAGACGGATCAAATGGTCAGAAGGCTCGCGAATCAAGGTCTACCTTTGGACAAGGCGATATGTTACAGATCAGGGTGACTCATATCGATCACTCCACAAGCATACAAGTGATCGCGTGACAAATTCCGCGTGATCACACCAACCCCGATCCTGGTGTGAAAATTTCCACACCGTGATCGAACCTCGACCCCATCGCAAACACGGTCAATTTTTCCATTGACACGAGTCCACCTGGAAGAGTGCAACCAGCCCCACCGACGGGTACACAAGGTGAGGAAGGCAATCAAGAACACGGAATTGGAAAAACCCCCTCCGTTAGTCGGTCGTCCGGGAGCCAGTGGAGAGTTGGGATCGACTCCTCAAATAAGCGATCACCACTCCACCACAATGGTGCGCGTGCCCGGATCTTCTCGTGACTAGGGATTTCACCGTGAGTTCCTGAGTGAAGATGTGAAGATAAAAGCTGAACCTGGGACGGAAGCATCGAAGACCAAGGAATCGCCACAATAGCGTGAGTCTGAAAGATTCCCAGTCCATCATAGTTCTGAGAGGGGCTCTAATGACAAGAAAATAAATGAGGAAAATCGATCACTCGATTTGGAAGAAAAACCTCGACCCCCTCCTGAGGTCCCTTCGGCGACCACCGAGGATCGTGCTACAAAGCACGATTCGCAGGGTGAAGACCCATTGGTTAAAACCGAGCAACAGTTGCCCAAACTCACACCCGCGATCTCGAGAAAAGATCGATTGAGGACTGTGAGGATGAAAGAAACAACGACCAATCCCGATCAACGTGATCAAGTTGAGAACAAGATCCCGAAGCCGTTCAAGTTCGTGGAAGACGCGATCAAGATGGAAGGGTGGCAATATGAAGAACTGGCCAAGATGTACGAGTGGAAGATGCTTAAGAATCTACTATCAAGCGACCCAGTACTCCAAGTGCTGAGGCCAAAACTGATCGACGAGATTCAAGGTCCGGTATCGACACCGGCAAGTGCATCCAACATGCTGGAAGGAATCTATGGGACCATGCGACTTTTGCATGAAGCTGTATTCGTGGCGGAGATGATCGATGTGAAAAGGTTGTTAAATTTTGATTAAGATCAAATTACCTGCGCATGTCGATCGTTGTACGAGAAGCTGATCCCTCTCACAGACAAAGCCAAGATTGAAGATCAAGCGCGCACCACGATCGCGGACATGACGAAGGAACACCACACCGGATCGTCGCAGTATGCCTCAGCGGAATCCGAGAGCGACTCAGAAGCCTCGACCGGCATTCAACGGATGTCACTAGGCCCCAGTGGATCCTCTTATCTGCATGATCGCGCCAAAGGAATCAAGGCTGATCCGCGATCGGCAGCTATAAGTACCACCGGAGATGACGCAGTGGCCTTACAAGTACATCTGCTGTCTTACATTGATAACGCAATGGAGCGATACGAACAGAGACAGCGGAGTCAAGCCTGCTAAGCGATCTATCCAAGACAAACGATCAAGAAGCCAAGAGCGCGAGAGACATACTTTCCGGATGTTGAGATGGAGTCGGTCGGATCGCATCAAGGTCAATCAGACTTTGGCGATCTCCGAAGGCACCCCCATACGAATCGGATCGGGAGGACTTGAGGCGTTCATTAATGGCGCCTGCGGAAGTTTCGACGAACTCAAGACCGTCTCCCCAACGTATTCGTTTCTCGGTGACCGGAGATCTGAAGAAATTTAATGGAAGAGATCGAGACGAAGATCGCGCCAGAATCTGGATCAGCAAGGTCAAGTCGGCGTTTCTAAGGGACCAAATACCGGATGAAGAAAAATGCCTGGTATTCGGTGATCTGCTGACAGGACCGGCACAAATTGACACAGTCGATTGAGTCGCACTACTCGTCGCACGTGTAAAGATCTGCTGGAAGGTTTCATGGTACGATATGAAGGATATGGTGTATCGGATGTCATACAGTATTACCACGCGCGCCAACGACCAGATGAAACCCCGCTGGAGTATTTACACCGGTTGAATGGGGAAGCGATCCGAGACAAGGTCGCGATTCGAGAAGGTAGACACGCTACGCGGCATGAACATGTGGAACAATTTATTTCTACACTGGATGATCGCGAGTTAGCGAAACAGTTGACTCTACTGCAATTGTCGGATGCCGATGACATGGAAGAAACGTTGCGTGCGTATCAGCGCATGGAAAAACTATACACGAAGACGTTGATGGGACCAGGCAAATTTCATCAGCGATCAAAAGTTCATGCTGATCAGGTTCCTCAAATCAACCCGAGCGGTACGAGAGATCAGGTTGGGAAGCGGAAGTAGCAGTTCGGAGTCGGATTCAAGTAGATAGGAAGATGACGTGGACTATCGCAAGGTTTGTGCGACCACCGTCTCCATTCCAGTGAAGTTAAACCAAGAGTATCGCATGTATCATAAAGAAGCTGATTGGGTGGAGGTACTTGATCACGGAGAACGATCAAAACCGTGCACTCACTGCGGATCGATCAAGCACAATGATCGCGGTTGTTGGAAGCGATTGACCTGCCAGAAGTGCGGTCGTAAAGGTCATCCATCGGACAAGTGTTTTTACGCGTGTGCAGCTTGTGGAAAAGTGCACGAGATTGGCAAATGCCCTTTGAAAAAGTTCTACAATCTGATGCGCAAGCGGCATGTTCCCACTAAGCACGCAGGAATGTTTCCGTCCGAGGCGGATGAGATGTTAAACTAGGACGCTCGCCGGGTTGGAATCTGGTACGAGCCGAGCGTTCTTGGCTCTGTATATATGCATTCGTTGAGAGACAAGTGAAGAATCAAGAAGTTAACGGTCAGGCCGAGTCGGTCAATAATATACGTATTGATTCAACTTGTGTCCCGGCGATTTCAAGTGTGCAACGAATTGATGAATACAATCGATCAGCCGTGAAGATGGAGCTCGATCTCGAACCAGGGGAATCACATGGATATTGGAACTATCATACCACTGGAAAGTGATTCAATCAGGCCCAAGCGGTTGGCAAGATCAATAATGAGAAGACCACTATGCTGTTTGATTCCGGTGCTGAAGTGTCAATCATCGACACCACCTTTGCTCGTACGGTAAGGTGCATGATCGACGAAAGCTAGATTCAAGAATATGTCGGCATAGGGGAATACGCATACATGACAATTGGGCGCACGAAGATCAAGATTACATTGGACGGCTCACTAGTGTATTATTTCGACGTATGAGTCGGTGATCAAGTCGTTCGAGAGGCTATACTGGGTTTGGATTACATGGTTCCGGCGGGGATTCGCTTGGATCTAGCGGACGGAACGCTATGTCTACCCGATGAAGTCTGCATGGGTCTAGCGGGGCGTAAGCCACTATATAGATCGATCATCTAAGCGATCAACCTGAATGATCAACACGTGGTTATACCGGTCGGCAAACCAACAGAAATGAGGATATGTATCGCGCCACCAAGAGCTAAACTATGGGTAAGACGAGACGTGGAGTGGGCACCAACTGTGACTACCGGGCCTGGCAGGATCAACTTTCTTCAGCTCACAAACCTATGTATTCTCGAGGTGATTTTACGCTGGGGAACTCCATTGGGGCTGTGGGTGGTAGCGGACACGATACCCCGATCGTAGGGGTACGTGTATGTGGGGTCGCGACGTTATAACGAGTGGCAGACATTAGCGTTCGAGGCTGCAAATGATCGAGAAGAGGTCTCACTCGCAACGTATGAAGGGCCATTTGTTGATAAGCGATCATATCCTACGCCGAGAAAGATTTAAAACACCAAGAATTGAAGACAGAAAAAGAGGCAAACGACCGCAGTGCTGACAAGTTACAACCTGATCAAAACGTGGTCGGCGAGGATTTGATGCACTACATAGACAAGAGTGAAAGCAATGATCGCGCTATGAAGAGCAATCAAAGATCGATCAAGGTACATGTGACGGAACATACAAATGACGAGACGCAAGACGATGACCATGTACAAACCATGTCAAAGGAATCTAGCAGAGTGATGACGCCGAACGTGACAGGGAGGATCGATTGCGAGAAGCCTGATCGGGGGCAGAGACGATCCATCGATCAGCCGGACGCGATCTTTACCATGGATGGTGATGGACAAAAACAGTCCAGAAATCAGTCTGACGAGATCGCGAAGGACACAGAAGAGTGGTGTATGCAGCCCGAGGAAGATATTTATCGACCAGCGAAAGTTTCTTCGTCGATCTCTACGACCCAAGGGTGCAGGAGGGGTGATCAGTCACAAGATCGGCATGAGGAGTCAAACCCTGAAGTAAAGATGGTCGACGCAAAAGATTCGGGCGAGGTATCAGCGATTTGCTGCAAGGAGAGTCCCGCTGTCAGACAGACGGGAGTGCGATCAGAGATTGTGAGTTACAGGAACAGTCCGATCGACTGGTGAAACGGAATGACGTCGTGGCGATCGGAGAAGAAAAGACGGGGGTGGAACCGCTTACCGGGTCGACGTATCGTAACGAAAGTGGAGAGTTGTACGCCGAGGAGGTCGATCAGCACATGGCAGTCCTACCGGAAGTAGTTATACCTGCGGCCGAGATATCTTTAGAAGAAATTCAAGTGGGTGACCCAGGGGAGCCACTGTCGAGTGATCAAGAGAAGTTACGACAACTAATATGGGCGAATCTCCATCTGCTAATCGGAAAAGGTAATGCCCTACCCCCTGCGGCTCGTGGAGCGGTATGTGATATTGATGTCGGAGGCGCTAACCCGATCGCACAGAGAGTGCGACCGGTCGCTCCCAAATTTTGCGATAAGCTAGCTGATCTGATCAAGGGCTATTGACGGCGCAGATAATTCGCCCGTCCACTTCTCCATGGGCATCACCGATCGTGGTGATCATAAAGAAGAATGGAGAAGATATTCGATTGTGAATTGCCTATAGACGAGTGAATCAGCTGACGAGATTGATAGTTTACCCCATGCCTTTGATCAGCGACTTGCTGCAGGATATGGATAAAGCCATATGGTACATTTCCTTAGACATGGCAAGTGGTGTTTGGGTGGTGGAGATGATGGAGCAAGCGAGAGAAATTTCGGCGTTTATTACACCATCAGGCCTGTTTGAATGGCTAAGGATGCCATTTGGATTGAAGAACGCACCGCAGATTTACCAACGACTGATCGACAATGCGTTATATGGATATTTGAAGATTGATACACGTCCAACTACAATCAATTCGGGATCACCAGATCTTATCGATGTGTTTACCGACGGGAAACCGGATTCTGACATGAAGACGTCGGTCCTTGGTCGAAGGTCATACATTGACGATATGCTGATACCGTCCCCGTCGTGGGAATCTCTCTACCGCAAAGTGGAACGATTGTTGAACGTGTGTAATCAATGGAATTTATCGATCAGTTTGGCTAAGAGCTTCTGGGGACGACGCAAGTTAGACTACCTGGGTCATCAAGTGTCTTTGGCTGAATTAGAAGCGAACCTAAAGGATCTAGGATAATTGGTAAACATACCATTTGCTCGCTCCTTACGATCGACGCAATCGTTTCTGGGGAGCCTCAACTATTAAAGTCGATTCATCGAAGACTTTTCAGTGTACGCCTCAGTACTGTACAAATTACGAGAATACGATTTCCATGAGGTCCGTCGAGTGTATGACGACCCGAGGACAGTGGAGGTTGCTGGGCGAAATCGGCTGTGTCATACTTACCATAAAAGCAATCTGAAATTGCACCCAATTCCTGGGGATAATCAGGAATTGAATCCAATTGCTGGGGACGATCATGAATCACACCCAATCGCTGAGGGCGATCAGGAATTGCATCCAATTGCTGGGAGAGATCAGCAATCACACCCGATCGCTGAGGGCGATCAGGAATCGCAACCAATTGCTGAGGACGATCAGTAATCACACCCTATCGCTGAGGGGGATCGGGAATCGCACCCAATTGCTGAGGGCTATCAGGATCCGGAAGGCAGGAGTCGCTGGGAGAAAGCAACGATTGCGTTCACTTTCTTGAAACAGAAGATAGCGACTACATCCATTTTGAAACACTTTGACTCGGATCGACCGCCATTGATTGTGGTGTACGCCAGCAAGTGGGCTGTGTTGGCTGCATAGCTGCAGAAACATGAGGAGGTGTAATGGCCGGTCACTTTTTCAAGCCGTACGCTGAAGACCAACGAAGTTAACTATGTCATGGTGGAGAAAGAGGTACCAGCATTGCTAAGGATGCTTGATATATGCTATAACATGCTGGTGTCTCGTGAGATCACCGTGCTGACGCGTTATTCAACCTAAGCCTTGTTTCTACACTCTTCCAGTCTCAATGGGAGATCAGGACGATGGGCTGCATTGTCATCAAACTGGACACTGGAGATCCGTCGATGTGAGAAGGGTGAAGATGAGATACTGGGTACTCTGGTAGCGTGTATAACTCTTCGACAGGAAGTGGATGCGATGTTGATCGCGATTGCACCAAAGAAACAACCACGACAAACGATCAGTATGCCTCCACCTACGGTCGAAGAGGAAGAAAATATCTGGGTGGCTAGTTTTGATGGGTCTGCTAGAGTGAAGAGAAAGTGTGGAGCATGCAGCGCGATCGTATGGAGATTACCAGGTTGAAAGGATGTGGCTGCCGCGTCTGATTTCGTCCCTGATCTAACCGTCAACGAAGCAGAGTATAGAGGACTACTTCTATGTCTTGATTTTCTGACTGATCAGACCAGGGGACGGGTAATCATATGTGGAGATTCAACTTTAGTGATCAGGCAAATGCGTGGAGAGATCGATTCCAAGGCGCCAGGTATACAACTGCTGAGACATAAAGCGATGGAGAAACTCCGATCCTGGCCCAAACATGATTTATTACATGTGAAACGCGATTGGAATGCAAGCGCAGATCGATTGGCAAGTGAAGGTCTGCGGAAAGAGAAAGGTGGAATAGTGGTGGATGACCAAGATCGCCAAGATCTAGTGACTCTGAATCGGCTAGATGAGCTACTGTTACCCCGCAAGACGAATCAGAGGGTGCCAGTAGCTGCGATTACCCAAGCTGCCGCACGACGACGCCATTCGCCACAAATTGTTCAAGAGGAGATCGTAAAACAGATACGAATCGAAAGGATCAAACAAGCGCAGGATGAAGAGAGTAGGATCTATAACTTGAAGATCTATTTGACTGGAGACGTATCTACTATCGGATCAGCGGATGCAAAATCATGTGGCTTGATCGCGACGGACTATGAAGTCGATCAGGACGAGTTGTTGCTCTTTTGCCCCAGATCAGCTACAAAGTCAGGAGATTGCGTAGAGTTGGACCGGTTGGTGATCCCGGAGCTATTGCAGCAGGAATTTTTACATCATTATCATACCAGTTTGGAGGGCGGCCACCAGGGTATAGGTCAAACTCACCAGAGGATCAGGGCGAAGTTTCACTGGAGAGGTTTGTATCGAAGTGTGCAACGGTATGTGGGAGAGTGTGTGGATTGCGAGACAGGTAAAGGCCTCCCCTGCGATCGAAGTGGCTCGCCGGGAAACGTACAAGCGACGTACCCTTTTCAGATTCTAGCGATGGATCATATTCCTTCTTTGCCGCGATCGTTCAAAGGGAACACAGAGTTGTTGATCTGGGTCGACCTGGTTTCTGGATATGTGGTTGCGAAGGCGAGTGCATCTCGTGCCGCACAAACAATCGCGGAAAATTACGAAGAATGTGTATTCAGA